TTTTGTAGCTACTCATTTTACGCGTTTATGACGGAAATATATCAAATACGAGATAACAAGGATGCTTAAATAAGTCACAATTAGACTGCGGGTCTTTATGCGAAATAAAAAAATGTCCGCATCAATTGCAAGACAAGGGCCCTTCCTTAACTAATTATATAACTTGAAACTAAATTAAATTGAATTGAATCATAAATTATTCTTAGTCACTTCCAATCTTTTCGCTATTTTAACCTACATTTAACCTATCAATTTTTGCCATAAACGAATAAAGTTCTAGTCACTAACAGCTGTTACACTATTCTCGAATCATTAATTTCCAAATTACTGTTCCATCTTTTTGCAATTCTATGCTATCCTAATTCTATTCTTGCATAGTCTACGTTTTTTAATTCTTGGCCCCGATCGACGCGAGTTGTCTGTGAAACTGTTGACTTATATTTAAGGAAGGGTGTTCCACGACGGTAAGGGTGTTGTCTCACCTGGCCAGTTCCCTTTGAAGGTGATGAACTCTGGAGCGTGCTCTCTCGGCTTCAGCCGTAGCCTCGCGAACACGAGCTTCGGCTTCCATTCGTTGTCGTCGTTCGCGTTCCACATCTCGTTGCGTAGCCTCTCGCTGTAACAAACAAATGCGCGTTCTTGTTATTCACGACGTCAAGCGTAGCCTGATCGGCTGACATAATCGATTGCTAAATTCTAAAGAGTTACCCAATTCTTTACAGCTCTGTACTGCAGAAAAATAGCAAACCACCGGGATAATTTAAGGATATCATTGTTATTAACATTGTTATAAATTTATTAAAATCGTCAAGACAAGAAATAACATTTAATTCCACTTTTATTGCAATTGACGCGGTTCAATTTTATGTTGCATTTCACTGTTGCATCTGCATTCCTCTCTGGAAGAGGAGATACGATTATTCGAGCCTTGCGGCCCGTTTTTATAATTATTGAAAATCGGTAACAATTATATAAAAACGAGTCGCAAGGATCGAATAATCGTATCTCCTCTTCCCAAATTGTCTCTTTCTGTGGACAATCTGAGCGTCAATTAGAGAGACATTACTGTACCAACGATATGTGTTCGATATCGTCGATCTCGTCCCCGGGTTCTTTTCTCGCGCGAACGATTCCGGTTCCCCCGATAATTCCGGACAGTTTCCGACGATTTCTTCTCGCCGGAAAAAATCTCACCGGGCCTCCAACGTCGCCGGTTTTCGGGCAGGAGCGAGCATAAGCGGCCGGTTTTTATGGCGGCCGGTGCAGCAACGTCCACGGGAACGCGGAATGAATCGTAAAGGGTACGAGAAAAGGGAAAGAACGCGGGCGGGGCGAGGCGGGGGGGAGCTTAACGAGGAAATAAAACTTCGCTTAGGACTGTTCCAGACAAATACGCTCTATTTACGATTCGCTTTCCCGTTAGGATAACGCTGATCTGCAGCGATAACCGGCTCCTTCTTTCGCTCCGGCTTCCGGCAGCGTTCCGTTCGTCCGCGATTCCGTCCGGAATCGCCGTTGCAGATTTTACGGCGGGATCGAAGCCTTGCCCCGCGCTTTTCCCGCGCTTAAATCAGAAGGAAACGGCCCGAAATGAGGGACGCGGATCGCGCGGGAATCGTTTATGCAAATGCGCCGCTCCGGAGGCTCGCGGAATTGAATACAAGTTTATTGCTGTTGCTGTTCCGGTATTAAGTTTCTCCTTTTCACCGGAAAAAAAGTAAATCGACTCGCGTCGCAGCGGACTCCGGCAGGCTTCTCTGCTCGTCTGCTCGTCCCTCTGTTCGACGAACCATCGAGTTTCTTTCGATTTTACCGCGAAATCGATGTTTTATTCAAGGAGGAACACTCGGGCTTCGGTTTTGCTATGCTTCGGAACCGTTAACCCGTTGCTGGAACATTTTCTTCGCGGTCGCAACAAATGGAATCTTTTCGATTGCTGTCGATTGCCTCGAAGAAAAAGGCGCGGAGTTTTATGTTGGAGTCGTGTCTGTTTTCAGTATTTTCGTTTTGTTCGAAGCGCGCGTTTTTTATTCTGTTTCGAGCGCAATTTGACGTTTCTTTTGTTCTATTGCGTTGCATAGAAAGCAACATTTTTCTTCGTAAATTGCGACGAAGAGGAACAAGATGGAAGTGTCTTTTCTTGCTCGATAGTTTCAGCGAGTTGTTCATAATGATCTTAGTATAATAATTAATATTAATATTATAATTAATATGACATATATTACTATATTACTTTATATAATATTATATTTATTATTATATTTATTATATTATTAATATCATTATATATAATATTATTAATTTTATTATTATACAATATTATACATATTATATATATTATACATATTATATATATATATATATATATATTATTAACATAATATAATATATATAATACTATAATCTAATAATCTTAAATTTTGTGAGCCCCTCCACAGTTTCGAATTTCACCGCCCCATTTTTTTTTATCACAGATGCACAAAATCCGCAGTCTAACATCATCACAAAATACAATCGTTGCCTTCAACGTTTCATCATTTAATTACAATCACCAGAAATGATCATCTCTCGAGCAGAATTGTTGCATTCATTCATTTTTGCATACACGCTACAACGTTAGCGTCCACCAATTGGATCGTATATCGCGTTTCAATCACGGCGCCGGAAACGGCAACAGCCCGCGGGGGCTTTATGTTCCGTAAAAATCGTTATTACTCCTCCCATTTAAATAAACAATCGGCAACAGCAAGAGTTGCGCCGCGATTCATAAGCCGCAACGAATCCTAGCCGTTTCATCCCCATCGAGCCGACGAGCACCATTTCTGTGTTTCGCGTTTCAGCATTTTAATCCCGGTTCGTTCCGTTTTTCTCTCTTTTTAATTTTTTTTCATTTGATATTCGAAATTAATGGAAAAAATCGATCGCGCTCGACAAAACGCGGCCGCTTCCGCTTTGACCTTCGTTTGATTTCGTCGTAGTTCTTCAATGGCGGCGAGTAGCACGCGGATTCTTCTGCAAGATAAAAAAATTAACCATATTGATCGCAAAATACAATTTAGCTCGTTTCTTAATAATTTTGGTAAGTCGATGGCACCGATATATATATTTTTTTCACATAAATATCTATATTATATATTATGTATTGTATATATTATATAATATAGATATTATTAGATATTAATATAGATATATATTAATATATAGATATAGATATATTAATATAGATATTATTAGATATTAATATATAGATATAGATATATTAATATAGATATTATATAATATATTATATATTGTATATATTATACATTAAATATTATATATATTATATTCCCTCTATATTACATTTCCCATCTCGAATTTTCCCGAGCTTAAAAGCCGCGGAGCCGGCATTATGAATTTCCGGGCCGCGGGATCGGCAACGGCGATTGCAATCCGGAATAGAAACGATTCCGTGGGTTAGGCGGATGTCGGACATTTTCTTGATTAAACCAAGATGCAAGTTCGGCGCGCTGGCGGATCCGCCGAGGAAAAAAAGCAGATCCGGTTGCCGGACTAGGATGGAAGAGAGCTCGTCGATCTTCGACCGGCTGGCGGGAGGAATTATTCATGAATTTAAATCGAAGCGTTGCACGGTACATTGATTGCACCCTTTCGATTCTCCGGCCGGCCAGAATCGGCCGGGCCGAAGCCCGCCGGGGTCCACCACCCCCCCTGGCTTCGACTACCGGCCCTATCAATAATTGCGTTCGACCAATGTGCCGAAAGCAGTATTTCACGCGATTTAACTCTCGCCGGGCATTCCGCCTACGGGCTAATAAATTGGCCGAGCCTGCCGGAACTTGGGAAATGTGTCGACCGTTCCGTATCGGTTATCCCCGGAGTCGAATATTCGCCGAGGATCCCAGGACCTGGCCAGCAGTCTCTTCGTTCCCTTAACGTTTCAATTTCCTCGGATTGCACCGGGACTTCTGTTACTTCGCGATGCTCCGCAGGATCTCCTCGGATTCCCGCTCGCAATCCTTTGGATTTCCCTTGCTCCCTTCTACCGACGTTTCTCCTATCCTCTCTCTCTCTTTCTCTCATTCTCTCTCTGTCTCTCTTTCTCTATCTCTATCTCTATCGCTCTGTGTCCCTTATCGGACCGATCATTCTCAACCGGTGCTTTGGTGTCCATTGATACCAACGCGCCACGGAAATCCGGCGAAATTACGGTTGCTTTAGTCTGCTCGACGAAAATTGAATGTCCGGACTTCGATCCGAGATATTGCGCTGCTCTGTTAACTTCGTGTTTTTGTTAATTAAACAACGCTTGCCGCGGCGGATCAATTTTTTCCTCTGCTCGTTACTGTAGCACGTGATTAACACTAGATTTACGGAACCCGTCGAAATGGCGGGTCACTGATTTTTTAATTTAGAATTATTCATATCGTAGAGATTTATTTACGAATTATTTATTCAATCGATACGTTACTCGCGGCAAATGTTACGATAACGCTTGTTAAAAATCAGAATAAATGCCTTATCGTCGCTTTCATGAAATAATATAGAACAGCTGTTTTTTGTGCTTCGTAAATCTTGTGGTAAGCGTTTCTAGTTCTTCGTTACATCGTCGACGACTGAACTATGACAATCAAATGTAAACAAAAAAATAATCGCATCTCCTCTTCTCGAATTTATTGTAGTTAATTAATTTACTGCAGAATCTACTGTAGAATTTACTGTAATTGAATGAACTCTCTAACCGATCGTTGCCACAGAACGGTACAAATGCAATTCGCGTCGAGCGAATAGCTTCAGCTTTATCTTTTTAAAGCTCGGTCTTTGTCGTTGATCCCGTGTCAGGGTTGCTCCGGCGCAATAATCGACAGCGGTTGCAACCGGTAGGCGGTGCTCTATTAAAGAGAGTCAGGTGAAAGGCGTTTAAGCGAGGGTCCCCCACGCGAAAGATATCGCGGAATACAATCTGGTAAAAGCCGGCTGACCACGGCGTAGAGGACTTAAGGGATGGCCCTTCCGGATTTATGGAGCCTTAAATCCCGGCGAACGTTCCCTTGTCCCACCCCATCCCTCGAACCGCCATTCTTCTATTCGGGGGTCGCTTCTTCTCCGGACGACGTAATGCGATCTTCTTGTCCTTCTTTGCCAGTTGCGAATCAACGGAAGGAGCCGCCATTGCAGGGGCTTGCGAGGGGTGGCCACGCGGGGGTGCCCCGGAAGCTGACACGTTTGACTTTGGAACTTTCGCTTTACGCGTGGGGATTTTAATGGTGCCGGCCGGAGAAGTTTAAAAGACGCCCGCGATTCTCCCCTTTTTCCTTTCTCCCTAATAGAAAACGCATTGGAACTTTCCTCCTTGGAGGGGGCGGACTTGTTTTTCTAACCTCAAACGAAGTCGGACGGCCGTGATCGGACGAGAAGTATTCATCGTTGGACCTTTGGATCTTTGCGCGGTATTAAAATTGTTGCTTCCGAGAATAGGGTGCTATTGAATTAT